TTATTTTATGATGACTAATAGGCAATTACTATGGTAATACTGCAATACAACATGTGTGAGGTTTGGGAATGAGAAATTATAGGTAACTACTTTGGACTCATTTCTATGGTAACAAAAAGTAATTGTCATTAAATACCAGTTATAGTGCGGCTGTACCTGGTAATTATAGATTTTTTTATGCCCAGTAACATAAATAAAACCAATAAATTTATTCAAAAGGCCCATGATTGTTTACTTATATGCTGTTATATAGAATACACAATGACAAACATCTAATTAGGAAAAATAAACTCCATCGAGAGCTTCATCTTGTCATCTGAGATAGATACTCAGTTTTTCAATTCAAAGCAATGCGTGTGTTTCACATTCATGAAATGAAGGTAGAAAAAAAAAACGGTTCCCATCAAAAAAAAACACATGAAAAATAATCAAGAGATGTTAGGCAAATGTCAACATGCACATGAACAGCCATGTCTCGCAAGAAGTCAAGTGATATAGTATGATGACGTGGCATATCCAGCCACTGTGAACAGTGAACAATTATGTATGTGGGTATATATATATACATATATATATATATATATATATATATATATATAAAATCTGAAAGTGTTAATATCAAAGACCAAAGACAGACACCCAATGTTACAAGATCTAGTTCTAATTCAAAGACGAAAGACATTTTGGATAAAATCTTCTTATGCTTTTACTGTCAAATGACCCTTCAGCCATTACATGTGAACATCAATGTTTCACTTGGACTATTAGTCACAGAAATAAAGTTCACAAAAAACCTTTGTAGGATCAATCTGAAGTATTTAATTTGATCTGAAGCAAAGTTTCTCATTTTATTTCAGACTCTTCAATAGGGAACTTACCAAAAGAGTTTTTAAGCAGATCATGCCAGTATTAAATAAACAAAAGATTTTTCTTAAAAAATGATAAAACTAATCAATTTGTTTCTTTAAGCCTTCCTTTCTCACTTTTTTTCCCCCACACAGAACAAACTGTCAAATTCAGCCCACTTCTGCAAGCAGTTTCAAGTTTTTACAAAACTATATTTCCAGGACTAAAATATGCCATTTATCCAAAACATTTCATGACAAAACAGCTCTCATTTACGTATGAACTCTCCCACCACCTACAGTGAATTTGGCTTTCCAATCTCAGTAGGATTGGCCTCCTTTCCAACCAACAAATTGTTTTGTTGAACCCTCGCACAAGCAAGTAGGAGACTTTATTGGCTTTAGAACCATCATACCTGACAGTGAAACAAGAAAGGATCAGAACTGGCATGTGCCCTCTTCCCCCATCCACACAAACTCTTGAAGCCCCTACAATCAAGACAGAAGGATTGTACCTTCTTCTACCATCAACCCTATTGATGACATATTAGAACATTTCAGCTAATTCATGGCTTTAATTTAGAGAAGGGTGGCACTGCTACAGCTAAAACATCAAAGGCAATGCAGAAACATTAAGGAAGGGAGCATTAGTGGGTCACACAACAAAGCCTTCAGAAAACAGGGTATTTCAAGCACCCTGTCATGGCATTTCCAAGACATCTCAGTGAAGATCTGCCCAGACTAAGAAATACATCCCTTTTGGTGCTAGTATGGGGTTTCATCTCTGGAAGGTGAGACTGACAAATTGGAACTAATCTAAGACAGTGTGGTACAGTCATCTTGCCTGCAGGGACACATTTCAGCATTTAACTGCAGAATGCCAGCTTAAGAACAAGCTCTCGATAAAGGAAAGTTCAGGCCAAGCCTGGGGATGCACGACTTTTAAAGCAAGAACACATTTTTTTCTTAGTCTAACTCCACCTCCCTGGGGATGGTAATAGATTCAGAAGATGATAATGCTATAGCACAAGTAGAGAAAAGTCAAGAAATCTCTCTTCTCAACAGCAGTATTCCTTTGCTTTCTGAAATTGTTTCACAGTTTAATTCATCAGAGAGGGATGGAAAAGCACACAAATATACTTATTTTTGCCATGATCTTTTCACTGATGAAAAAAAAAAAAAAAAAAAAGTTATGCCCCAGCCTCATCAAAAAGGGTCTTTCACTTTTGTTGAGAGCTGTGGACCAACCACCTGCCAGAACAGAGGGACAGTCGTGCTAAAGAGCTACTGTTTTAGCTAGGAATGACCCTTGGCTTTTTGTTCCCAACTGTATGGGGCCCACAAGTATACTTTCCAAACACTTGCACATACTTGAATACATCAGTAAAGTTTAGCAATCTTTTTTTTTTTTTGCATTAAAACGGATATCAAAGGAATTGACATTCAGTCCCATGATGGTTTCTTTTAGAGCCCCCTCAAAGTATGTGCAACATAGAAACAACATTCCTCATAGGTATTTCTGTGCCGCGAGCAGTCATGTTTTATAGCCATGATATTAAACTCACTTGTTGCTGGTTATGAACATTTCACCACAAGAAAGCCCCTGTAGAATCACAACCTATTTGGTCTGTTCCCTTGAGAATGAGCAACAATTTATAGATAATAGACAATTATTGGTATTATTGTTGCAGTTTTGGCTTAAACTCCTAGACCTTAGTTCACAAGCAACTCAGAACAAAGGAAAAAAAAATATTTCAGAGAATTGCACAGGGACACACCATCCACAAGAGTCCTTCACCTCCGAAAGCAACAACGAAGAAAACCCCATCAGCCAAATGTTACCACATTACCTGTGCAAATGTGTATGCAGAACATGAGAACTAGTACATCCCATCCACTCTACAAGAACTGCTGACACAGTCAGACTTCTAACAGTGCTCACTGCACTTGGGATTTCAGAGGACAGCAAAGTCCATCTGACAGCATACTTTGCCAACCGTATAAAGCTGTATAGCGCTGGGGTTAAAACAAAATTTCTCCCCATGGCAGAGGATGAGTTTACAAACTCAAGCGTGAGGTTTAATTACCCATTTCATTATCTTAACTTGCATAGCTCTGAACGCACACCTCCAGTGAACCAAAGAAATACTAGCTGCTGCTTTGAGAGAGAAGGAGATAACAGGAAAGAGAAGTTCAAATGACTAGAAATGCTCTTGCTGCCTATGGCACCACAAACCTTGTTTGCAAGCCAAAGAGGGTTGCCCCCAGCTGATACCTCTGTGTTATACCATGCCACGTTGAAGATTTCTGAAAGTTCTATTTATGTGCTAATCCGAACAAAGACCAAAAGAGATAAAACAGACTTATCTAGTCAATCACGGAGAAGCCAAAGAGTTAAATTTTCAAATACTAGCAATTGATCCTTAGAGATTTTTTCTTTCCTTTAAATTCATCCAGCAAATTCAAGCAAATAAATTCTGATGTGCTTGTGGATTTTGTATGGGCAGGAAATAAAGTGTTTGCTGTAAATTATTCACTCAGCACTAGTTAACTACAACGCCGGCACATTACTAGGCTTTTTAATATTCTTCTCAAGATAATAGGTAGTATTTTGCTTATTACCCTCATTTTTAACTTATTAGTTACATTAGGCCTTTTGTAAATAAAGTGAAGAATTGCAAGCAAATCAAATGCTTTTCCAGCTACCTCATTAAAAGTCCTTTTAGTTCAGGAGGGCTGAAAATTCTGCATATCATGAAAGGCTAAAACAATAGTATAATACCAGGCTCAGCAATTCCAGATGAATTCACTTGCCCTTTCGTAATACCTGGGTTCCCAGATGGCCTTTCAGGCTATGAGCCATATGCATGTCTAAAGCTGCATGCCTCTCAAAGGGTATAAATAACAATGCAGGAGAAAAACCTACAGGGCAGGTGAATTTATGGCAGGAAAAGAAAGCTACTTAATTGCAACTGGACTTGCCTAGATGCAGGGCACCTGCAACAAGATAATGTAGTATCAGATTGTAGAGCCATTCCTATACGGCGACACAGCCATTACAATAAATTCCTGGTGCTGTGAGACACCACTGCTGCAGTATTGCTCTCTGCTTTCAGATTAGCTGAGCTGAGTGAGTATCGGTGTAGCTGGAGGGTGACTGTTTGTCCTTGGAAGTTTCACATACAAAACTTGCATAAATGTGGTGAAATTACCCAAGCAGTCTCCTACTACTTCAGTTTAGGAAGCAACAAAGCACAGGCGGACTGAGAATCACGCCTGAAAACAAAAAGCAGAGCCAGCAGCACCAAACTCTGCAATTTCTATCTTCTTCCTCAATGGTCTCCCCATCCACACAATAATCTAGTCTTATTCTGCTTAGCAATGCAAAACCTAATTAGATCAAACCTCAAAGTAGCCTGGCTTCAGAGTATAGTGTTATTTAGTCTTGCACTGTAAGCAAAACCGCATACACTATATTACAATTCTCAAGGGTTTCTCCAGAGAACTATGTGGTAGATGTAATTGCCCCCACAAACTAATCATCAGCTTATCAACTGCTTTTCATTATCACCTCCAGCAGCACATCTATTTTGTAAATAAATGCATAAGGAACAAACAATTTTAGGGAAAACAAAAGATTATCTGGGTATGTTCTCAATGGAGGAGGAGGTAAAGCAGTAATTCAAATACTAAAATGAAGCAAAATTAGCATAGGGTGGGTGATTATTCCATTCTATGTATCACTATCTACTACAATACAATAATAGACTGAAATCTGTGACTTTAATGGATGATCTGGGTAGTTGAAGGAAACTGTGATTGACTGACACATTTACAGAGATGCGGATGAGCAGCATAACGAATGTGTTTATAAAACATAGCTGAGGTCTAGCTCCATGCTGACTTCAGCTCCCATACATAAAGGAGGCTTGCAGAGCAGATACTCTTCTATCTTGGGGAGTTTCTGTCTACCCCTAGATGAAAACAAATTTGCCATTGTGTCCCCTTCCTCAATGGGAATTTCAGGAAGCTTTACAGACACATGGGAACCTCCAGTTTAAAAGAATGGAATGAAAATAAGCCATTTGGTGACAAAAAAGAACAGGGTGTATAAGGTAGATATAACAATATAGAGATTAATTCTCCATATCATACCTGTAATTTCCTAGGTATACTCCATCAGGATTGAGCATAGGTGCAATCTTGAACACCAGGTGGTCTCTCAGTACTTTTGCAACAGGATGCTGGCTCACAAGGAAATCAATTATACCTGAGAAAAACAAAAGATGAACTTGAAGAGAGTGGTTTATAGCATCAATAATTTCCAGGTGTCTATCTGAAAACTCACATATAAAAGATTAAAATGATCATTTCTCTTGCTTCCTGACAATGTTCTGCTTCAAACATAACCAGCCACTGGCAATCACATAGCACTTTCTACTTAAAAACAAAAAAATCCCCCAAAATAACAACATTAAGAATAAATATCCTTAGCCCACCTTGATACTCAAGTACAGCATGACTGCTACATTAGAACCAGCCAAGTTACTCCTCATCAGCTCAATCACAGCAAACATTTTCCTCTTAAGTGGTAAAATTGAGAACAAATGACTAGTTTAAACTTAGCACCTTACATGACCAGCATGTATGTACATGGGCATGTAATGCCACTCAGTTCAGGAGTGGCAATCCGTTGACCTGAACCGCCTCAAATTTGTTCAAGAAGGTATCTAGATCTACCCTCAACACAGAGATCAGGTCATCTGAATGTGTGAAGAGGTATAAAATATCCTACTATATTCAGGAGAGTTACATCAACTCTGTACCAGGCACAGGGAAAACTGTGGGATTGACAGTTTGGAATTCATAAGGTCAGATTCCTCACTTGCTTTACACCCATACAAACCAGGAGCAACTCCACTTCATCAAGGCAGATCCTTTATTGTGGCAGCAAGGCAAATGACAGATCCTAAAATCCTTCCTCCAGGCACATCCAGCACCAGACCCCACCAGGGCTCCTGCCTCTAAGCTTGCGCTCAGGGAGTAATTCATCCTCTCCTTGCTCCAAGGTTGGCACTGGGGCAGGAGGCAGGCAGCCTAGAAGTTCCATTCATTGCTTATTCTCCCACTGAGTTGGTACTGACAGGAATGGTTTCCAGGGAACAAATGTCGAGATAAATTGAGTTCCTGTGTAATCTCAGGACACCCACAGATCGGTCATGACAGTTTGATATTTATCATAATGTCCATCCTGTGAAGCAAGAACAATTTACTGAATTTCCCCAGAATAAATCAATCACTATGCTCTAGTAACTGGATAAAATTAAGCAGAGAAAAATTAAGGCTGATTATGAGTAAAATTTCACTAATGGCAAGCTCTATTATACTGTGGAATCATCTCTCTAGGGGAAGAGTGGAACCCCGTCATCAGAAACATTTAATGTTGGACAAGGCAAAGCCCTAGGGAATAGCTATAACAAGCAATAGTTCAGCACAGAAGAGATGGCATGGCTAACTAGCTGTTCAGAAAGTTGAGTTAAAACTTGATTCCTTACGATGCAGTAAAAATCTCTAGAAAAATACAAACTAAAATCCAAATATGTGCCAGGTTAAAAACACTTGCTTATGTCTTGGTTGAAATATTCTATAAAAACAGGATTCAAATGTCACACTTTATATTGGTAATTCATTTGGCCTAAATCATAAGGCCCACTTTGTATTTCAAATATTAATGAATTTAAACTGATGTTGCTATTGGAATTATTTCTAATTTATTGAAGCATAAGGGGTAAAACGAAGTTTTTGAAATGCCTAAGGTGGTCAAGGTGTATCTGACTGTAAACACCACCAAATTTCTCATCTATTAGCGACTAAACCTGAAGACTAAATCCTTTCTGCAACTGGGTCTTCCACAGGAAAAGGTACTAAGCCTGAATTTCTGAGGCAAATTAGCATATACATAATAATATTGCTCAGGAAATGTTTTTTGCAATTATCTCCTCCCAGTGAAAGAAATTGAGCACCGATCTGCATTGGGCCTGGTGTTCTGTCTTTTGCTCATTATACAACAGCAAGAACAAGAAGAAATGACACAGTTGGACCCCAAATAACCAGGTTTCCTGTATGTAAACATAAAAGGCTTAGATAAGTTAAACTGCTGCTATGACCATTCTCTGGCAGTGTCTAAACATAACCCATAGTTAGCACAACAGGAGGGTTCAAATCTACTGAAAGGGATACAATCCTCCACTTAGGTCCTGGGTTCTGGAGACAGTATGCTGGTTTTAATTTTAAAAAGCTTGCAACTAGACTGAAAACACTACAGCTGTTTGTGTTCTCTTTAAGACATGGAAGAGTTAACCACCCAGAAACAGAATCACTATGGTTGGAAAAGACCTTTTCTAATTTTCTAGTATCCAACCTGAACCTCCCCTCACCACAATTTCCTTTCAGGAATTGTAGACAGAGAGATATATAGTCTCCTCCTCCTCTTCTCCATACTGAGCAATACAGGAATCCCTCATTCAGGAGGTGGCACAAGAGCCCAGTGTCCGAGATTTTTGCTCTGGCTGTAGGTATGCCAAGGAAGAGCCTTGTCCAGATTCTGCTTGCTTTCCTCCTGTTACTGATGCATCCACACTCACAGAGCTTGCAAAGGCAAACCAGCAATAGAAGGTGCAGTTATCAGCTTTGCAAAGTGAATTATTATTCCCTAACCAAGCATGAAAGGCTCTAAACATGTTATGAGTGAATGCTGGTTCTTCACAACACACTGTTGCACCAGGTACAGTAGACAAGAGGGAACAGACTAATCTTGGACACACAGCAGATTGGTAGAAAATCAGACCCAGCATCTCCCAGTGTATCCTCAATCTATTAGAACATTCCACAGTTATGTTCACCCAGTCAGAATGGCTTACTCGCATAGTTTGGAGACCATATTACTTAAATCTGACCAAGACTTACCCCATGACAGAAATACAAAGCAAATGTTAAAAATAACTGACAAAGAGAAATCTAGCCTGGAGGAAAAGCAACTCCAAGGAGCACAAGAGAAGCACCAGATGAAAACATACATGAATGTCACCATAAAATTATTGTAAGCATCCAAATAATCAATACAATCAGCATAGACTTTTGTCTTTCAGAGGAACCTGGTGGGCTCTGGATCAATAACATTTAAAGTAAAAAGACAGATATCAGACTATTTAAAAAAAAAAAAAAAAGAATTATACCAGAGAACTTGGGCTTGTTAATAAATCAATACAAACTAAATTTTACAGCTTCTGTAATCAGCAAGAGACATATCAGTGTATCTCATTAGGCTGGGGTTAGGAATTTGGCAGCAACCAAAGCCCATTTAATATCATTTACTTCAAGGCAGACATGGCAATACAACAGATGCCCTAATTTATTTGTTGATCTTTGTATTAAAATAACAGTTTGCTGGTAAACAGGAAGGGTAATGATGCCAGTCACCCTTGTTAGTGGCTAATAATTGCTTAATTTGTCCACTAATTGACCTGTGCTACTGTTGAAGCACTGGATCATGTTGCAGGGCATGAAGTAAACAAGGCCACTGTAATGTTACTTTAGAGAATGACTTCTGGAAATAGAACTACTTATTGCTATAAATTTTCTCTTCACAGATGAGCAGATTAATTGGTCTGCCAATTAGTTTGCTATTAAAGAAAAAAAACGGCTGCCCACAGATTAGTTGGATCTTCGAACCACAGCCCCAGTTTGGGTCAAATGAAATAAACCAATCTGAATCAGTCACACCATCTATGAAAAATACGACAAGTATTATTTAAAAACAAATCTCTACAGCTAGAGGTCAAAGAAAATGTCCCATTAACTGCATATTGTCTCTTCAAGTCGCTTCAAGATGAAAGAACGAACTTGATGGAGTAGACCTATTCGGGCACATGAAAGTATGTAAAAGTTCTCCAATTAAAAGAAGCAAACAAATAGAAAGTATTTTGGTACATTACTTTTTGGTAATTAAAATAATCATTTTTTAAATAATAACATGCAATTATAGATGCTGCCTGGAACTAGAATGGCTCAGAAATCAGCAATCAACCATGACACGAGAAGAGGCTTATCCACAGGCCACACAAAACCTTTGTAAACTGTTTTTGACTTTGTATTAACTTTAAGGAGCTTTCCACAATTGTTGTGAGGGGAAGGCAAGAAAGAAGTAAAAACAGGGGAAAGGAAAACAGTGCTGACAACTGCAAGCTGTTAGATATGCTGTCATAATGATACTAGAAATCTTAGCAATGAGCTGCTGGTTTTTTAATCTGTCCTTTCTGAGAAACTTCACTGAAACTGTGCCAAATCTGGACCAGACCTTCTCTACTAAGAGTCACGTTGCTGCCATAATTCTTTCTCAAGACCAGATGTGCTTGCTGGAATTTCTCCTGCAGCTCAGCATGTCGCACCTACCATAACACCAGATCCTGTGACACTTTTCTTCCCTAATCCAGCTTATGGTACTTCAGCAGCACCCTCTGCCACCATCCCTCCTCCTGTATCGTGGCAAAGTAACCTTCTCTGCTTATCCAGAAAGAACAGCGGAAATGGTGTTTCCTCAATCAACTGCTTTAAACTCTGTTTAAACTTCCTGCTGTCTCTAACATGACCTCTTCACATTTGCTCCTTCCAAAGCAAAGCCTGCATTATCCTGTTTCTGCCTCACCACATCCTTTCACTCTGACAATACATTTAATTGTATAACTATATCATACATTTGCCCTGTTCCTACTACTGAAAACCTAATTACCACAGATTCTAATGCAATATGGCAACTGCTAATGCAAACGTATCCTGGACTGTGTTCTAGCATATGACAAGAAAGAAGAAATGATTAATATTTTCAGACCCGTTTCCTAACATTGAATGGTTAGCTGATGGTATCCTACAGTCAGCTTGCCAGAGCCTATATGTTAAAGAGAGCACAACATTTAAGCATGAACACAAACATATGGTATATTCACTGGAAAATAAATATGAAGGAAGCCCTGAATGCTCATCCTTGTATAAATATTGAAATGTCCTGTTAAAGGACAATGAAACCAATAGGAAAGATGTTATGCTCGTGCATTTGTGAAAAGTAGGAAAACAAGAATGTGAGGTTTGTTGTCTTGTCATTAGGCATGAAGGAACTCTGTTTTGGAAAAGGGATCCTGGTCTGCTCATTCCTCATCCTTTTCTTGTGGCTGCAAAGGGGAAAAAATGACAGATAAAAAACACTTCTCCATCCCA